CCTCACTTTACAAACCCGGAGTCAGGTTGGGAAGTTGGGGGGTGATTAAGGAAAGCAGTCTCCTTACCCACTGCTCCCTCCCCAAAATGACAGGGGAAAGCCAGGCGACCAGGCCCCCTTCCCAAGGTCAGGTGGCAGTCACCATATGGAAAAGACGCCCCGAATTAATTAATGAAGCCTGTTGACACGGTAAGCAAGTTAGTAAAGTACATTTTCAAAATTGAGGCTGTACATACAATGAAACATATGACTTAGGCATTCGGCATGTCACAATCAAGACAATGGTATTTGCATTTATTTTCACCTAAAGAATAATGAATTTTGCACCTTCCCAGCCAGAGAGGCATGACTTTTTAAAAGGAGCAATATTCGGAAACTGTTAACAATCACTTCCTTCAAAGGAAAGGAAGAATTTTAGGCCGTGGGTGGGATCCCTTATTTGAACCTCACTACCCGGTGGTGCTCTCTCTCTAACACGTTAGTCTTCTGTTCAGAGCACTAGTTTGTCACCTTTAAACTCAAATGTTCTAGCATTCTAAATCCAGGAACGAATAAATTAGGTCAACAATTTCCAAGTTTTCTTCTTTTAATGGGAAGCTACAGAGAAAGTAGAATCTAGCTCAAAACTGAGCAAATTTTGTTTTTAAAGGACACAGTTTAATAACATAATATCTTCAGGCTTGCCAAACAACTAGCGTTGCACATGTTAAAAAGTGAAATTTAAAGGCATCCGGGTACCGCCCAGGGTGAGGGGAGCTCTACTGCTCACTTCACGCTCTCCCACCACAAGGTTTGAACGGGTTTAGAATTTAGAAAGTGAATAAACCTTTTACAAGTCTGACAACACCAAGCATCTACTGCTTTAGCCCAAATAAAACGTATGTAGATCTTTAACTGGAAATATAAATAAAATCTGACATTTAACTCAACGCCCTTACCAAGAGGAAAATTCTGGTGGATTCAGGGCGCCCCCAGCCCTTCAATCCCCGCTCCGCCCGCCTTCCACTGGATCCTAATCTGCAAGAGAATTGGCTCCATTTTTCTGTTCCTGGGATTCGGAACGGTATTTAGCTCAATCATTCACTCTTCTAAAAGTGGTGAAAGAACATACTAGAAACACTCACCCATGAATATGGAAAACTATGAGTCCATTCACAGCTTAAAAACGAAGGAAAAAAAAATAACTGCCCCCTAGCTTCATACCTATAAGGAATCTTTTAAAAGGAGGTGCCCAAGACAAGTCAATTAGAATTTCAACTTTTTTCCAATAGGAGAAGCCGGCTTAAGGCCATCAGGCAATAGCTCCGCCCTCCTCCCCAAATAACAGGTTACGAGTGGAAAAGGCTGCGGCGCTATGCTTGCCTTGGCCGTGCTCGGTACCAGCTCGCCGCTCCGACTCATTCCGGCAGGCAACTCCCAGGAGCATTTTTAAAGCTCCTGCGGTCTCCTGCTCTCCCTCCAAGTCAAGTCCATAGCGATCGGACACACCAAACCTCACGGGTCTGTCTACAGGTAGATCGCATAAACTACCTACACTCAGCAGAGCCCGCTTCTCAAAACTTTAGACCCCTGCTCAGTGGGTTCGGGAGAGTAATGTACCCCAAGGTACTCATTCAACCCCGAAGTGGAAGGGGGGTCACGTGGTGTGGAAAAAATGCGCAAGAAAGGGTTATTGGATTGCCCAAACACTGAAATCAAGCCCAAAGACTGCGGTGCAACCCTCAGACTCTCTGCGAACCCCCGGTTCACGCCGCGTGTTGCTATTCTGGTTTTCTCCATGGGAAATCGAGCCCCCGGCTGAACAGGGTGGGACACCTTGTAACCAGGAAAACCGGTTCCCGTAGGGATCGAAGCTAGGGCAGACGCGAGCGGCCCAAGAGACTCCCAAGATTCCCAGCCGGGTGAGCGCAATCGGCAAGGTCGCTCCCCGATTCGCTGCTCTCTCGGGGTGCAGCCGTGAGCTCACGAGACCAACAGCAATTCCACATAAGAGAGCTCGGGGACTAAACACGCATTTATTATACGTTACGACAAACAGCTGCGGAGCAGATAAGGGCTGAAGACTGGGGTCCCCTTGGTCCTCAAAGATCCGCACTCCCCCCTCCAACCCAATACAAACAGGTATCGACTGCTACGCTGTCCAAACAACACAACCAGTCCTCCCCTCATAAAGGCGCACGTGGAAACCAGGTCTACTCAGGCACACGCACTCCACACACATACCACTCAGCCACCCACACAATCATCTCTTCCCGGCTCATGCACTACTTAAAAGCAATGAACCTACGAGTTTTACAAAGATGGGAAAAGGAGCGTCCTTCTCAGCACATTGGGAGGCCTCTGGAGTGCCCGCACAAGGAGGCCACGTCTATACAAACACAACTATCTCTTCCCCAACTCATGCCTACCTAATTAGAGACAACGTTGGCACGTTTTACCATGAACAAAAAAGTGAAATTTGGAAAGGGGGGAACCCAATGCTTTGGGACTTTTCGGGGGCCCTAGTAGGACACACAGAGAAGCCAGGTATTCTACACACTTCCTAGGTCACGATCTGCTTGGTAGAAACGACTGCCTCGTAGTCGAAGGAAAAACAAAACAAATCCTAAAAGGAGAGGCCCCTTCCGCCCCTCGCTTTGGGACCCGCCGGGCGGCTCCTCCATAGGACGCACGCGGTTACCCGGTGGACCCAAACACAAGCCATCTCACACCCCGCCGTACTCACCTCGTCTTCGTGGTGCTGGCAGAAGCCGAGGCGCTCGGGAAACACGGAGAGGATGGAGAAGGGAGAGCCAGGGAAGGGCGGCCCAAGCCCGAGCTGCTGAGCCGCGGCCGCCGCCGCCGCCGCGGCTGGACCCGGCGGACCGCGCTCGATGTAGTGGTCCTTGGTGAGGCGCACGCGCTGGTGCGCGCGGACGCAGTTGTCGCACAGGTGCTCCTGGCAGTCGAGGCAGCGCGAGGAGGCCGCGTTGCCCTCATCGCACGAGCTGCAGCCGTGAGGCCGGCGCAGCAGCAGCGCCGATGGAGAGGCGGCCGGGCCGCCGGGAGCAGAGCGGGAAGGCGCAGGAGGCGGCGGCGCCTGGGGGAGCGGCGGCGCGGAGGCGG